TTTATACACTGTGTGTATAAAGCAAAAATTCTGAGAACTAGAAGGAGAAATAGATAATTCCACAACCATATGGAGAGTCATTAATATCTTTCCAATAGCTATTAGAACAAGTACACCTTCCACACAAAAATCAGTAAATTAACAAACAGTTGTTAGCAAACTTGACCTTTTGACACCCAAACACTGCAAAGTACACATTCTTTTCACGTGTGTATGTGCTACTCATCAAAATCAATCATATTCTGTGTCAAAGAGCATTTCTCAAGAATTTTAGATAATTGAAATCATGCTTAGTGTGTTCTCTGAACACAGTGAAAATAAGCTAGGGCAATGTTAAGAAAAGATAACCTGAAAATCCCTAACTACTTATGTGATATAATAAAGAAGATATCTTATCTCTTTCACTAATTCTTGGTTCATGGCACAGAGCTTCAAAAACCCTTGGAACCTCCCAATAGGAGTGTCTTTTGTTTTTCATAATGAGTCATTTTTGACTATAACTGAGTTTATGCCAGTGAGCTGACTCATGGTGAGCCCTTAAATAATGTCAAGGGAGGAGCTGGTCATGTCAGAAAAACTAAGCTCCTGATTAGAGGGTTAGAACTTTCAACCTCATTCCCTGACCTTCAAGGAGGGGAGGGGGGCTGGGGATTGAATTCAATCATGTAGCCAATGATTTAATCCATTACAACTGTATAATGAAACCAGAGCTTCCTGGTTGGTGAACATATTGATGTACATTGAGGGTGCCTGCGCCCTGCCTTCATGGGGCCAGAAGCTCCTGCATTCAGGACCCTTCCAGTCTTGCCCTATGTACCTCTTCATCTGGTTGGTCATTTGCATCCTTTATAATAAAATAGTAATTGAAAGCATAGTACTTTCATGAGTTCTGTGAGACGACATTCTAGCAAATTATCATCTGAGGGTGTTTTGGGAGCCCTGAACTTGTGGCCAGCTGGGCAGAAGTGCAGGTAGGCTGAGAAAACACAGGACTTGTGGCTAGCATCTGAAGTGGGACCGTCTTATCAGACTGAGGCCTCAACCTATGGGGTCTGTCGAACTGTGTGTAGTTAATGTCAGAATTGAATTAAACTGTAGGACACCCAGATGGTTTCAGAGAGTCACTTGGAAGTTAAGAAATACATCACTCTCTCTCTTCTTTTTTTTGGCGAGGGCGACTGGCCCTGAGCTAACATTGTTGCCAATCTTCCTCCATTTTGTATGTGGGACACCACCACAGTATGACTTGGAGTGGTGTTTAGGTCCGTGCCCAGGATCTGAACCTGCGAATCCCAGGCCATGGAAGCGGAACATGGGAACTTAAGCACTATGCCACTGGGTCAGTCCAAAAATACATCTCTTAATAATTAATGGATTTAAAAAAACCCTATTGTGTTTCAAAACATTGGGAAATATTTTGAATTAAATTATGGTGAAGACAGCATATCAAAATATATGATGCAGCTAAGCAGTGCTGAGGTAAATTAATAAACATAAATGCATAGCAGAAGAGAAGGAGAAAGGCTGAAAATTATCTAAATTTCCATCTCAGGAAGCTAGAAAAGAATAGCAAATCAAAACCAAAATTGTAGAAGGAAATAAGTAGCAAAGATAATAGAGAAAAATCAAAGAAACAGAAAAAACATATATTATAGAGAAAAAGATTTTAAAGCTATAAGTGGATTCTTTGAAAAGATTAATGAAATTGAAAAAACCTGCTAGGATTGATCACAAAAAAAAGAAAAGAAAAATTAACAAAAGAAAGACTAAATAGATGTCACTAGAGCTCATATAGAAACAAAAACAAAAAACAAAAAAATGGATATTGTATACATGATAGCAAAGTATTTGACAATCCAGATGAAACAAGCAAATTCCAAGAAAAATATAACTTATCAAAACTCTCACAAGAAGAATCAGAAAATCTGGATAGCCTGGCATCTATTAAAGAAACTGAATATACAATTCTAAACCTTCTCACTAAGAGAAATTCGGGCCCAAATCACTTCATCCTTCAATTCTTCCAAACATTTAAAATATAAATAGTACACCGATCTCACATAAATTCTTCCAGAAAACAGGGAAAAAAGGACTGCTTCCAAACTAATTTTATGAAGATATGATGATTAAATGTTAATGTGGGGTCCTGGATGGGGCCCTGGAACAGAAAAAGGCCATTAGGTAAAAACTAAGGAAGTCTGAATAAACTACAGACTTTAGTTAATAATAGTATATCAGTGTTGGTTAATTACTGATAACAAATGTACCATATTATTAATGTAAGATATTAATAATAGGGGAAACTGGGTGAGGAGGTATAAGGCAACTCTCTGTACTATCGTCTCAATTTTCCTGTAAATCTAAAACTGTTCTAAAAAATTGTCTGTTAAGAAAAACTTAAAGGACAAAAAAAATTGTATAAATATAATAAATACATGGATACAACAATAAAATAGCCTTTATATTGAGATGATTACCAAAAACAAACATACAAAAATAGACTTTAAGATAAAATCGATTTCAAGGCTAAAGAGCATTATTAGAGTTGAAGAGGGTCAGTGTGTAATGACAAAAGCTTCGAATCGCCAGGAGGATGTAGCAAATCTAAATCTGCACGCACCTAAAATACAGATTCAAACATCTGACACAAAATTTGACCAAACTATCAAATAAATGTATAAACCCACCATCATAATGAGAGAGATGAACTCACTTCTCTCAGTAATTGATAGATCAAGTAGATAAAAAAGTCCATAAGAATATAAAATATTTGAACAACATAACTAATACACTTGATCCAATGGGTATATAGAGAGCGCTGTACCCAGTAATTAGAGAATACACATTCTTTTCAAGCACTCATGAGACCTAAAAACTGATCACATATTGAACCCTGGAGCAAGTCAGAATAAATTCTAAAAATCAGTTTCATACAGATCACTTTTATGGCTCCAACAGAATTAAGTAAGAAGTCAGTAACCACAAATAACTTAAATATTCATGTCTGGAAAGTATCTTTAAAAGGCCTTTAAATAACTGTTGGGTCAAAGAAGAAATCATAAAATCAATACATATATCTCAAATGTGTGTAATGCAGCTAAAACAGTACTTAGAGAAAAATTTATGACTTCAAGTATATTTATTAGAAAAGAGGAAAGGCTGAATAACCATGAACTAAGTATATACTGAAGAAGTTAGAACAACAGAGTAAAATCAAAGAAAGTAGAAAAAATAAAATAAAAAATATAGATAGAAATTAATAAAATAAGAAATAAAGCTATATAGAATCAAGAAAGCCAAAAGTTTATTTGACAAAATTAATAGCATTGACAAAATATTGTTAATACTGATCAAAAAGATAAGTATAAAGAGCAAAAACACCAATCTTAAAAATTTTGAAATAGCATAACTAAAGTACAGCAGACTAAGAAGATAATAAAGAAATTACAGGGAACAAGTTTATGCCAATAAATTTGAAAACTTATTTGAAAAGAGAAAAATACATATTATTATATAACCATAACAGAAATCAAATTCATATTTAAAAATATTCCATGAGAAAACTCCTGATGGTTTCAGAAGGTTAGTTTTACCAAACATTCAAGAATCAGATAATTATAGTCTTATAGAATTTTTTCCAGAGAATTGAAAAAGAAAGAATGCTCCTCATCTCATTGTGAGGCCGGTAGTACTTTACTAAACTGGAAAGAACAGTATGAAAAAGAAAAATTAAAGGTCAACGTCACTCCTGAGCGCAGACTTTTTTTTAATGTTAAATACCAGCAAATTACATCCAATATTATATGAAAAGGATAATACTTCATGGCCAAGGATGGTTTATCCTAGGAATGCAAAGTTATTTTAACATTAAGCAATATGACTGGAAAGGAGGTAGATAGCACACTTGTTAAACTCATTCTTTGATGCTTGGAGTAAAAATTGAAAATGGACCTCCTCTTGCACAGATCCACGGGCACAGTGAGAAGTCCTGTCTAACACCATTGAACATTCCTAAGGAACCAGTAATTTCAAACATTGTATCTTTGTATCTGTCTGGTATGAGGGATAAAAATGTCATCCTTCTTTATATTCCTTAATCAAAAATGTCTTCCTTACCAGAATTCCAGTGTCTACCATCCCCCACTAGAGACCATAACCTTGATTTAAAGAGACCATTTCCTGGGCTGGCCCCGTGGCTGAGTGGTTAAGTCCACGCTCCGCTGCAGGCGGCCCAGTGTTTCGTTGGTTCGGATCCTGGGCACAGACATGACACTGCTCATCAAACCACGCTGAGGCAGCATCCCACATGCCACAACTAGAAGGACCCACAACAAAGAATATACAACTATGTACTGGGGGGCTTTGGGGAGAAAAAGGAAAAAATAAAATAAAATCTTTAAAGAGACCATTTCCATGAGCCTCCTGCTAAGAATTATTAATCTGTGTACACACCAGTTTGTTAGATTGCTTTTCCCATGACAGCTAGCTGAGAACTAGACTCTGAGGGAATAGGACATAAGAATATAAGTTCCAGTGGGAGGAGAACGAGAAGAGTTTCAGAAAGTTGGGCCCTTCAGGGGATGAAAATATTGACCCCAGAAACACTCCTGTACTGATGCCTGTCAGCTCACAGCTATAGTCATGCGGCGGGTGGGTGCCTTGGCCTGCATCAGCATTTGAAAGTTTACAGAGCATTTGGTCCAGATAGAGAATCCTGCATACAACAACAGATCAAGAAACCCACTTTACAGCAAAGGAGGTGTGCTGGGGGCACGTGATCAAGGGATCCGCTGGTCTTCTGGTGTCTGCACCGTCCAGAAGCAGTGGACTCACAGAACATAGGGCTGCCTAACGGAAGGTGCAGCTGAGGCTCCAGCTTGGAGACGACACTCTCCAAGGATGGGGCACCATCCTTCAGAATCTAAATCAACACCCTGTATATGATGCTGTGTCTCCAAAACGTAGAATGAAGGTGTGGAAGTAGCAGTGGTCCCACTTACCATCACTCTCAGTGAGCCACCTGGAGAATTTGTGCTTCCTTTTCTTGTAACTCTGGGCAATCAATGCTGGTCTGGAGGGCCTGTTTCCAGGGAGAGAATGTGCCCATTAGGAAACATGGCAAGAGTTTCATTTAACTTTGAGCTATGGCTCCTGCCCCAACTCTTCAGGATCCTTGTTCCCAGAGACCAGCAGGCTAGGAGAGGAGTCATGCTCCTGGCAGGGGTCATTCATGCTGATTATCAGGAGCAGGTGGGGCTGCTGGTACACAATGCTGGCAGGGAGGAAGACCTTGGCGTTCAGGTGATCCACTGAACATCTCTTGGTACAGTAAAAGGACATGTAAAGCAGCCACAGTTTGAGAAAGGCATGGTAGCTGGGACAAAGGTCTGGATCACCTCTCTAGGGAAGTCATCCAGACCAGTAGATCTACTGGCTGAGAACAAGAGGAATCTGGAATAGAAAGTAGGGGAGGGAGATGGTGATTATCCATTACTGCTTTAACTCCAGCTGCAGCTGCAAGGACTACAGTTTGTCCCACTAACATTCCTCCAAGTTTGTCTGTGAAAAGAGACCAAGAAATCCTGGAGGAGCTGTTCCAGATGGGATGAACTTAGTACATAAAGCAAGCAGACCACCCAGTGCAAAAGGATGATTGTAGCGGATACTGTGGTACACTGCACAGGTTTCCCCCTTCAGAACAGAGTCACTCATTCCCCACGCTGCTGACAGCTCAAAGCTAAGTCCTCACCTGGGACCTCTCTCAGTCAAAGGAAGCTGCGCTGCCCAATGTTGTCCCCCTTCTGGGATACTGCTTGTATCACGTGACTAACTTACAATGTGGGGTACAAAGACGTGGTTCCTTCACCTCAACTCTGAAGGACCACCCCAGCTCCAAAGAGGCCTTTTCTGTGACCCTATCACAGTTTGACACACCCCTCTGACCAATCCTGCTGCCTTCATTTCTCACTGCTGTTTTCCCCAAGATCATCCTTAACAAAACTTCTGCACTCAAATCTTTCTTGACAGAATGGAAATAGCACAAATGTCCTTCTGCTGTTCAGTGGAGCTAAATGAGATGTTTGGATATGTAATACGAAATAGAAAAATGTCTCTTTACATAAGCAAATCTTCCCTATTGACTTATGCTATTATTAATAACTTTGATAAGTATATGGAAATCTGAGTCAGCATTCAGTCAGTCTTTCATTCATTCAAAACATATTTCTTGTGTGTGTGTGTGTGTCTTAATTAATTTTTTTATTGGGGTAACATTGGCTTATAACATTATATAAATTTCAGGTGTACATCATTATACTTCTACTTCTGTATACACTATATCATGTTTACCACCAAAGGTCTAGTTGGCACACTTCACAATACAAATGACCCCTTTACCCCTTTTGCCCTCCCCCCACCCCCCTTCCCCTCTGGTAACCGCCAATGTGTTCTCAGTATCTATATGTTTGTTTGTTGTTGTTTTTGTTGGTTTATCCTCCACATATGAGTGAAATCATACAGTATTTGTCTTTCTTCATCTGACATTTTGCTTAGCATAATATTCTCAAGGTTCACCCATGTTGTCACAAATGACAACATTTCACCTTTTTACTGGCTGAGTAGTATTCCAGTGTGTGTGTGTGTGTGTGTGTGTGTGTGTGTGTGTGTGTGTGTTCATACACCACATCTTCTTTATCCATTCATCCATTGATGAACACTTAGGTTGTTTCCATGTCTTGACTATTGTGAAGAATGCTGCAATGAACATAGGGGTGCACATATGTTTTCAAATTAGTGTTTTTGAAAACACGTTTCTTTATCATCTATAATGTATGGAACCATTTCAGGTTATGGGGATGCAGACATGGTTTAAACACAGCCTCTAACCATAAGGAACTTATAAATTAAATGGGAAAAGAGAAGTCTATGGGGAACTTAAGTGTATAATAATAGGTTTAAGACAAAGAACAGTATAGAGAAGTCAGGTGTGGGAATCTAGATCACTTCTGGTTGGGTACATCTGGAAAGTTTTCTTGCAGAAGGTGACATTTGAGCTGGCGCTTGGAAAATGGGTATGAGCTGGATAGGTGAGGAAGAGGTAAGAGTGTTTCAGGCAGAGAGAAGTGAATGAGCAAAGGTGTCAAAGTGTTGCCATGTGGGGCTTATGTAGGGAGTGGCAACAGTTGACTTTGGCTGGGTGCGGATTGCTTGGAAGAGAGTGGTGGTAGCCCAGAAAGAGAGCTTGGAACTGCATTGTAAAACATTTTGAGTGCTAGTTTGAAAATACTGAACTGTATTCAACAAGTAACAGAGAAGGAAAGTTTGAGCAAGTGAGTGATGATCTTGGATCTCTTTTAGGAAGACTAGCCAATGACCTGCAATCAGGAGGTGCGAAGTCAATTCCAACCTCTTCTAGCTGTGGCCTTGGATAAATTACATAATCTCTCTGTGTTTTGGATTCCTCGTCTGGAAATAAAGCTGGGTTTCAACTACTTTTCTTAAGCAAAGGGATGATTTACTGACAATCAGAGATTATAGGGAATGCTGTCTCTGTAACATAGGCATTGTTAATACATTGTCTGGTTATTAACAGATTTTCTGTCTTAATGGAATCAAACTGTGGGGGCAATCCCTTCATTCTCTCAACCTAAGACCTCAGTTAATGTACTGAGTGGTTCTGTTCTAAAATGAGAACTCTGAGTCCTAAACATCTCTGTGTATGTGCGTGTGTGTGTGCGTGCTCATGTTTTGGTGGGCCTGGTGGGAGGCTGTAGAGGTGACAAATGTCTTGACTGGTTCTCAATCATAATAGCTGCCATATACTGTCTGGAACATACACAAGGCTGAGTGCTTTAAACGTATTTCCTCGTTTAATCAGCACAATAACCTCATAAGAAAAGTCTTGGGGAATATCAGGTCACTTGTCCATGCAGCTGCTATAAATATGTCAGTAGAGAGAATAAAGCTTTATGACTATATAACAAAGGTATTTGCCCCTCACATAGTGACTGGAAGATTCAGATTATAATCAGCTCATTTCAAGAGTCAGCAGATGCCGAAGCTACCTACAGCTAACTGATGTAGGAACAGGAGCAGAGTTCAATCTCGAGTTGGCACTTTATTCTTCCATGTTACTGTTTTCATATCTCAGAAATGCACCATGAATAAAAAAGTCCCACAAGATTTCTTTATGATACAATTTAATAAGCCCTGTTTTCCACCTCACCTGAAGCAGCCAGGTCCATGTAAACCCTTCAATCTCTCTGAGCTTCAGTTTTCTCATCTGTAAAACAGAAATTACACTTAACTTGCAGAGATATTTAGCATTGGAAATAATATTTGCAAGGCACCTAATTAATATACTGTCACATAGCGTTTTCATCACACAGTAAGTGCTCAGTTAAAGGTGTCCATCCCATCGCCTCTGCCTTGCTTCCTATAAAAGCAGATTACTACGATTTTGCACAAGTAAGCGTCTGTTTTTGCACTATAACTATTTGGTTCCTTTATGATAATAAGTGAGGAAACTTACAAAAGTCTGATGGAAAAAGCTCAAGATGCTATCTTCAGGCTAAAATGTTGTGACTTACAAAGCTTTTGCGATGTGACCCCTGAATAACACTTTTTTCAGTCCCCTCACCAGTTCCCTATCTGCAACCTTATATGGCAGCTAAACTTTGCTACCTATAGCTCTCCTACACAAGATGTTCCCAAAGGATACTAAAATGACTTTTTCTTCTTTTTCTGACTGGCTAATCCCTATGCAAGCACTGTATCCTCCATAAAGTCTTCCCTTCTCCATTCCCACCCTACTCCCCTGGCTGAAATTGGTACTTTTCCCCTGTATTTCAACAGAATTCCATGCTTACCTTTTTTGTGATGCATGACACACCGAATTGTTACAGACGGTTTTCTGAACTCTTTCTCCCGTTAGACAAGAAGTCCTTAGTATTAGGTTGATGTTTCTAATCTAAATATTGCCAGGGTCAGATGCAGTCCCTGGCTCACGGCTGGTGCTTCACTAAGGTTTGTTACTTATTGAATGAGCATGAGGTGGGGTAACAAATATCAGTGGTTTCCTCTCCAGGGATCAATGCTATCAACATTGTACCCACAGTGAGTAACTTAACAATGTAAGGATAAAAAAAATCATACCCTTTCCCACTCAAGCCTTTTGGTTCTGACATTGACACTAGGGTATACAATAAAATACAATTTATTGGAACCAATAAAAGGCCCTCATAAGGATAAATCTTTAATCATCTCTAATGACTGATAATGAATGATAGCCTTTCAGGAATTTATCTAAAATCTTCCCGAAACCATATATTCAACCTGCATCTACTCTTTAAACTAACAAAAAGTCAAAATTTATGTCAGCAGCATAATAGTATTTAATTTGGAGACCCCAAACCATCTTTATTCAAGTTTTAAGGAGCTACCTCCTAGAACTAATATAAACATTTTATTACTAAGTGAATTACTTTGTAGCTACCCTATTTCTTTTTTCTTTCTGATCGGTTAAACTTTAATCATTGCTCCTTTGCTGAAATCATTCCAGCCTAAGGAATTGTAACTTTTTATCTTTTTTTCTCTTTGAAATCTGAGATGAGAATTTTCAACGTTTTGATTATAATCATCTGTAATGGAACCAAAACAAAGTCTTCTCCAGCTAATAGGCCAAGAAAGGCATTTTGATTTACATTTATGAGAACTTGAATGGTTATAAAATACTAGCCGAAAAAATTCAAAGTTGTAAACATAACGTGAATGTATAGTTAGTAAAACCCACTTGGTGATCTCAGGCCTCTAAATAACTCAGAATGATTTTCTCTTGGTTAAAAGCCAGTTTGTTAAATTCTATGACTATTTTGGGGAAAGTATGTATTTTAAAGACCATGTAAAAAGATCTAATGTTTTTCTTTCCTCTTTACCAAGGTCTCTTCCCTCTTATAGAGCTTTTCCTGTTTTGCCAACAAGAGATTTTTGTAAGAGATTTTCTAAAAGAAGGAGAATTTTTCCGTGCATGTCAAAGCACACACTCTTGTTGTGATGATATCATGACAAAAGTAAACATTTTCTGATTGCGGTCTACCTTTTACCAACCCTGTGACGTGACTCCTTTTAGGTGTATCTGTTTACTTTGCTTACTGGTTCTCCCTTGCCGGCTGCAGCCAGTTCTGGTTGAGATCACTTAGATGCAGATGGTGTTGGAATCACCAAGGACAAGCTTCCCTGTTTTCTGTGTGACTTGTCTGTCTTTCCACACCACCTCTGGACCCAGCAGTAGGTGTCTCATGGTAGAAAGCACACTAGACTATGAGTCAAAAGACTCGTGTTTCTGTACTTGCTAGTTGTTCTTACCTTGAGTAAGTCTGTAAGCCTTCTAGGGATTGTAGCACAGTGTAAGGTAGGGGCCCTTTTTGTCTAAGGGATTTTAAAGGATTTAGTGGTCATGGTAGTTGACTCTCAGCAGCATTCCATATCCAGATGATTAATCTAAGACAGCAGTTTCCAGATTTGGCTGTGCACTAGAGTCACCTGGGAAACTTTTTAAACTCTGAGTGCCCTGGCCACACCTCAGAACAACTGAATCACAAACTCTGGGGGTTCAATCCAGATATTCAAATTTTAAAATTTTTCCCTGTGATTCCAAGGTACAGCCAGGGCTGAGAACCATTGATCTCGGGAATGCCATGACCTCTGCTAGTGACCAGTTTATGAACGAGCGTGTGATCCAATCCTGGCCAAGAAAATGCAAAGCAAAGGCTGCAGGAAAGCTTTGGGAAAAGGTTTCTTTCCCCTGAAAGAAACACAAGAGAGGGGCTGGCCCCGTGGCCGAGTGGTTAAGTTCGCGCGCTCCGCTGCAGGCGGCCCAGTGTTTCGTTGGTTCGAATCCTGGGTGCGGACATGGCACTGCTCATCAGACCACGCTGAGGCAGCGTCCCACATGCCACAACTAGAAGGACCCACAACGAAATATACAACTATGTACCGGGGGGCTTTGGGGAGAAAAAAGGAGAAAAATAAAATCTTTAAAAAAAAAAAAAAAAAGAAACACAAGAGACAGAGAGACTTGTTAAAAGTCAGAGGTAAAAACACCTCACAGAGGCAGACAGAGCTGCCAAATCAGACAAAAGTGGAACCAAAACATGGAGCATGCTCAATCTCTCAGCTTCCAGTTATCTGAGATCATAAATTTCCCTATGTATGAGTCAAACTCACAGTTTTTCTGTTATTAGCAATTGAAACATCCCATTATCAATAGGTGATTGACTCCAATGGGAAATACTGATTTTACTCCTGGCTGCTGTCACTCTAGGTCAGTGGTTGTCAAGCCTGATAAATGGTAGGATGAGTATCACTTTTGAAAAAACACAAAATCTTGAACCCCACCTCAGACCTACAGAATCAGAATCTCTGGAGTGAAGCCTAAGATTCTGTATCTTTACAGATCTCACCAGAAGATTTCAACACAGCCAGTCTGTACACTGGAGTTTGGGAACAACCACTTTTCTAAGAAAGAGAGAAAAAGATAGAAAATAGAGTTATTGCGTCATGCAATTTAAGATGGAAAGAACTTTAAATATTATGTAGTATGACTTTACCACCTTGCACATGCAAAAATTGGGGCCCAGAGAAGTGAAATTATTTGCCCAAAGAAAAACATTTAGTTCTTCAATACAAGCACAAAAGTTGTGTCTATATGTCCATTCTGGTCTTCCTACAACTGAAAGTTTTTTTCATTCTGAGTCACCAGATTGAGATGTGGGCCTATAGATTGTGGATACTATTCTTTAAACAAACCAGCTTGAAAACTGTCTACTACATACTACAAGCTATATTAATATATTGTTTAGCTAACGTAGCTTATACCAGAGAATTGTTTCATGTACTTCTTAAACTCAGAAATATTACAAGTTAATTCCCCTGGAATTTCTTTGCCCTTTTCTCTGCTGAGGTAGAATGTGGTTGAAACCAGAGGTCTAAGGGGAAAATTGCCAATAGTTCCAACAATACCTCCTGTCAGGTTTGTTTGATCTCCTTGTGTTTATTACCCTTTAGATTTGCCTTTGGATATGTTCTCCCTGCATTAGGATTCTTTAGCTTTCAACTGAGACCATTTTAGATAATTGAAACCATACGAAAATTGGTATTTAGGTTGGGAGTTCTTATCCCACATACCAACTTCCGTAAAACACCCTTTACATTGTGCCACCAGTGAGTAAAATTTGCCTCTACCTAGCCCAATAATAATAGTATTATTATGATACTGTAATAGTGAATACAGCACCCCATTCTGAAGGAAGTTGGAAATAGAATGTCTTCATCAATTCGGCTCACATCTATAGGTAAATGGTAAGTGGCCACTACAGCAGAAGTCATGAAGTTCAGGGTCTTGTTTCTGAGAAGCAGTAACATATACTTTCTCCACATTCACTATAACATTTGAAGTTATCTGAGTGGAATCGTGGATCATCAGACAGCCTGCTGTTTATGGATTCCTTACTGGCTCAGAATCTGAAGGATGAGTCTATAGGGGTCCGACTCACCTCACACTCAGGTTACCTTTGAGTACAAGGCATAATGGTTTGGGGCTGTATACGTGAGGGATTTATGCTTCTCTATGTCTGATGGATACAATAATGTTGGTAAATATGTAAATTTTGAAATATCAATACTATCAGTTTCTGTCCTCCTGTTTGTAAGATTGTCTTTTTTCTCCCTCAGATCTAGTCTCAATGAGATTTGAGATATTAAAACTTGACACATGGTCCATAAAATATGGGGAAAACATATTGAAGCCAGAAAAAGAAACTCATTCTCTTCCTCTCCTTTAGGTACCTTGGAACCTTTATGTAAGGAGAAGTGACAGGGTAAAGTGAGAATGTATAGAAAAGACTCAAATAAGTAAAATTTCAAGATAATTTGTTAAAATGCTATATTGGTATAATAATATTTGCATTAAAAACAATTGGACCTCTGTGACAGCAAGAGAGTTAAGTCTGGATTGGTGTTTCCCAAGTATATTCTGCAGGATAATAATTATGCAAGTATCAAATAAAGTTACATGAAAACATTTAAGTGAGCAATTAGTTTGGGAAAATTGAGTTACACAGGACTTCTCAAAGCTGTTAATAATCTACTAGAGTGTGTGAATATCCAAAAGTGAGGCTCTAATCTGCTACCTTTCCCAAACATATTTGACCACGTGATTATTTTTTTCGTGAAGCATTTTGCGTGTGTAAAGTTGATCTGATTCATCTGTGGTATCTCAGGAACTGAAATAAGGACACATCAGCTCACTGTCTGAG